TTTTAACTTAATTGTTTAGTTCCCTCTTTCCCTAACACCAAGAATTTTGAGCCATGTGTAATCCAACACCATCTTCCCCTTCCAATTTTGTCATTTCCAAGAACACCCATTTCAACAATCATCATAACAATGACCCCCCAAAATCTACTGATCATGATGATCAACTTCATTCATGGCCAACCCCTTCCGAGGTAACATCATGCGTCTTTTTTTAATCTTTAATTAGTTTGAAAGCTTGAATCTTTACGAATAAAGATCAAGAGAAGTTGAGATTGATTGCTTGTTGTTTCATTTTTTCTTCTCCAGGCATTGGAAGAAATCAAAGCCATTGGGAAGATTTCAGGACCCACAGCCATGACTGGTTTACTACTATACTCAAGAGCTATGATCTCCATGCTGTTTCTTGGCTATCTTGGTGAGCTTGAGCTCGCCGGAGGTTCACTCTCCATTGGTTTCGCGAACATCACTGGTTACTCCGTCATCTCAGGGCTAGCCATGGGTATGGAGCCCATTTGTGGTCAAGCATATGGTGCGAAACAGATGAAACTCTTGGGAATAACGCTACAAAGAACAGTGCTTCTACTTCTGTCAACTTCTCTCCCAATCTCTTTCCTGTGGTTCAACATGAAGAATATCTTGTTATGGTGTGGACAAGATGAAGAGATTTCATCTGCAGCTCACACTTTCATCATCTTCGCAATTCCGGACCTTTTCTTACTCTCTCTTCTTCACCCTCTTCGTGTTTATCTCCGAGCTCAGAACATCATTCTACCATTAACGTACTGTTCAGCTGTTTCAGTCCTTGTGCATGTCCCACTCAACTTCCTTCTCGTTGGGTATTTCAAGATGGGGATTTCTGGGGTGGCGATCGCGATGGTTCTCACAAATCTCAACTTGTTGTTCCTTTTGATCACGTTTGTTTACTTCTCCGGTGTTTACAGGGACTCATGGGTGGCACCAAGTTCCGACTGCCTTCGTGGGTGGTCTTCTTTGTTAGCTTTAGCGATTCCAACATGTGTTTCCGTTTGTCTCGAATGGTGGTGGTATGAACTAATGATAATGATGTGTGGATTACTCGTAAACCCTAAAGCAACCGTTGCTTCAATGGGGATTCTCATCCAAACTACATCCTTGGTTTACGTTTTCCCATCGGCATTGAGCCTTGGTGTGTCAACTAGAGTTGGAAACGAGCTTGGGGCAAACCGACCCGCTAAGGCACGGATTTCGATGATTGTTTCACTTTTCTGCGCTATGGTTTTAGGACTTATGGCAATGGCGTTCACGACACTGATGAGGCACAAATGGGGTCGGTTTTTCACTAACGATTCAGAGATTCTTGAACTAACTTCGATCGCATTACCAATAATCGGACTATGTGAGCTTGGAAACTGCCCTCAAACAACTGGTTGTGGGGTGTTGAGAGGAAGTGCAAGGCCCACCATTGGAGCGAACATAAATTTGGGATCATTTTACTTGGTGGGAATGCCGGTGGCGATCATCATGGGATTCGTTTTGAAAATGGGGTTCCCCGGACTTTGGTTAGGGTTGCTTGCAGCTCAGGGAACATGTGCCTTGCTCATGCTTTATGTTCTTTGTAAAACAGATTGGATTCTTCAAGTGGAAAGAGCTAAAGAGTTAACAAAATCACCATCATCTTCATCTTCTAAACCTTCAAGAACTGCTAATCCGGTGTTACCAGTATCAAACAAGAATCAGCCCAAGAACTCCATGGAAGCTAATCTTGAAGAAATCATGGTATCTGAAACGATGAAGAAGCAGGATTCTCGTTCGCTTGAAACAGATCCACTCATTATGCATTAATGACTCGACTTCATTTTCTTATTCTTTTTCTCCATCATCTGATGATTGTACTTGACACCATTTAGCCAGTAGATGTTCTTAATAGTCTGCAAATCTTTTTCTCTCTCTTAGCCGTGGCTGTATATTGTTCTTGATTCTGATGCTTTTTTTGCCCTAAAAAGATCATGCAGTTGTAATTGCTGAGCTATGCATAAAAGAATAGAATAAAAATAACATTTACAAAAAGCATTAGTTCATTGATCCATTACATATATACCTTCTGGCATTGATTCAGAGATGTAATTAGATTAAATTGATTCTCATTTGTAACTTACTTGTACATGTTATTTATTCCATGTACATAATATTAATAATTTGAAAGTTCGTGATTTAATGAACAACTTAATCATGCATACACAAATTAAGATCAAGAGTTTTATCATTGACGTAGCTTGTGATATGAAGTCTGAATTGGATATCGTATGCCAAAGTACAAAGATTTGTTTCTAAATGATAATCGATAGCGTACGTGTACAGTATTCGGTACTCACCATAAAAGTGTGATAACGGTTTGATAATTATTTGTCTAGGAGTCGGTTTTTTAGTGGAATCGCAAGAAAATAATAATATTCTAGCAACAATTAATCTGAATATTTTTAAAATTGTTGAATCAACATCTTTATACTTTTTCATTTTTTTATAGTTTAATATTATGTATGGTATTTAAAATTGTTGAACCAACATCTTTATACTTTTCATTTTTTTATAGTTTAATATTATATATGTATTGGATTGTGTATCCTTATAACAACACCTACTATATTTCTCTTTCTTATTGTTGTTTCCTCCCATATATAGCCACAAAAGTGTCTGCATGCCCTAAAAAGGAATATCATTTAGCATGATAATATGCTCATATTCCCCCAATAAGACATCCACCACCATTTAATTTCCCGCACCTTTTTCAACAGCTTTGCAAAATTCGCGTAAAGAAAACCCTCATTAAAGTTATTGGGCAGTAAATGGACTGGTCTAAAACAGTACTTGACTCTTGGAGTTCTGTTGATTATGCAAACTATAAACGTAAGGCTGAGAGGAGTGGGTGCGGTCTTACCGCACCTTAGCCACGGTTTCAACGGGGAATACCGCTCCTGACCGTGGTTTCGACTGCGGTTTGACCGCATGTGATAGTAGAGGGCCGTATTCTTTTGGTGGAGGATTTTTGTAGAAATTAATGGGTTTGACCGCATGTGATAGTAGAGGGCCGTATATATATGTTTTAATTACTCCCCATCTACTGCAATACAATTGAAGATCCGTATAAGGCTTCAAAAACTTTGAAGATTCTTATGGTGGAGGATTTTTGTAGAAATTAATGGGGACAAACGATGGAAAAGTATCAAAAGTTAAAGTTTTAGTTGTCTTGAATTTCATCAACTTTACCCCTATGCAAATTGCAAAGTCAGACTTATATAGCTACTTATGAGACTTAAACCTTACTCAACAACCACACCGAATAACTTGATTCCATGTCACCATTTAAAACAAACTTTGACGTCTTTATACCTTTTGTGACACTTTCTTCCCAATTTTAGGGACGGTCGGGTAGATGCCAAATCATGAAAGGTAAGAAGCTATTGGTTACCCACTTACATATAAATATTTTAGGATGATATTTAAAATCATAAAGATCCTAAATATTTGATTTTTAAATTTTTTTAATGACCAACAATGGTCTAATTTTAGAAAGAATTTAAAACTCATTAAAAACATTTGAAAAAAGAAATAGTCCAACGGGATTTTTTTTGGTGCCAACACCCACAAATATATACAAGATACGAAAAACACACCCACAAATATATACAAGATACGAAAAACATATGAAAAAAAAGTTTAAAAATAGAAAAAAAAAACCCTCTAAACTTATGTTTGACGTATTAGCTAAAAAACTAGCTAGTAGCTGTTAGCTGAAAACTAGCTGAAAATTTATAACCTAATTGATTTATCAAACATAACAATTTAAAATAGCTAAAAAAAAAGCTAGTTGTGACATTTTGATTATATATATATATA